CACAGTGGATTATCCAAAAGAATAAGAAATATTGGCACAAACATGGCTCTGGCTGGGGTTTATTCGATAACAAAGGGAATAATCTGAAAGCATGGGAGAAGTCTGGGGGCCTGACACACAAAAATCTGATGGCCCTTAGTGCAGTGACGTCTCTCCTCTTCCTGAGTGGATTAAAAAAGATCTATTTCCAAATTTATAGAATCCTAGGATCACTGAGGTTGGAAAAGCCCTCCAAGGTCACGGAGTCCAAGCTGGGGCTGAGCCCAGAGCACTGAGTGCCACATCTAGGTGTTCCTTGGACACCTCCAGGGATGGGGATCCACCACCTCCCTGGGCACCCCTGCCAAGACCTGACCACCCTTTCCAGGAGGAAATTCTTCTTCATGTCCAACCTGACCCTCCCCTGGGACAAGGAATTTGTTTCCCTCCAAAACACTGAAACCAGTTTGGCATGAAAATTAATTTGAGTAAAATTTCCTTCCTCATGTTCATCCCAAATAAACAACTCCCAGACCTGGAAATGATATAATTGTGTGTCCAGTTCACAGCATTTAAATCCAACCTTAATCTCTTTATTAAGCATGAGTACATGTATTTTTTTAAGGTTAGATTATGTCCTAGGCTGTTCCCATGAAGCAAGGGTTGGAATTTCTATGGTTTAATAAAAGGAGATTAATATGGAAATGAAACAAATCTACTGTTAGAAAAATAAGCAGGATCAAAATCCATTTAACTGAAACCTGCAGCTTTTTATGTTTAATTCATAATACACTTAGAGCAGCAGCTTCCCTAAAAACTGTCCTTGTCCCAGATAGCCCTTTATTCTTCCTTCTGTGTTCCTTGTCAAGGAGCTAATTCAGGCAGCTAACTGGGACAATAACTAATCCAGCCACCATGTATTCCCCCAGTTATTCCCTTCTTCATTCCTTTCCTATTCTTAGTCCCACGTATTTTTTCCAGGAGCTTGTAATTCCATTATAAGGACAAGCAAGGGATGGCAGCACACGGTGCTCAAATCAAGGGTGTCTGGTGAACTTCTGGGGGTCTGGGATCAATAATAAATACTAATAAGACAAATAATATAAACAAATAATATATAATAATAACAACCACCATTTTTTGCCATCAATGGAGGGACTTCAAAGACCACTCAGTAATTTAAATAATACCTTGTGGATGAATAAACCCTTAAATCTCATAAACTCCCTCCAGATGATATTCCCAGAGAAGTTGTGGCTGCCCCATCCCTGGAAGTGTTCAAGGCCAGGTTGGAATGGGAATCCACAGGTTTTCTGGGCTGTACTTTAGTCACCAACTAGATTCCAATCAGTAGGGAAATAATAACAATAATTGTGGTTTTAATTTGTTTTTCATTATTTAATCTGCTTTGACACATCTCCAAACAACATCCCTCTCTGATTTAATGAAATAGATATATAAATGTTTTCAGGGAAAAACATATTTCCAGATGTTGGTTCTTTAGGAAATAGGAAAGATTCCTGCTGAAATCTTGATAAGAAATTGCTTTATTGTGTTTTTTGTACTCCTGTCATCACAACCTGTGCATTTCCATACCGACCTACAGCTGCCCATTTCCAAAAACTGGAAATACATGGAAAATCTCCTTGTATCTCCTGCCCCTCTTGGCCTTTTCCCAAATCCACTGTTTTCTCCCTAATGGACTCTGTTATTCCGTACCCATTAGTAGATCCTCAAATGATGACATTTCATTTTAATTGAAATCAAACATCCCATTCCATTAGGGAATTAGAAAACAAACCAAATTTAATCGGAATTCATACAAGTACAGAAGAATATTTTCCTCCCTCCGAGATTATCTTTCCATGGAAATTGGAGGGATTTTTTGATGGGGGATATAACAAAGGTTGCAGGGAAATGATGAATTTTTTGGGGCTTCCCAACCCGTTCATGGATTTACAAAAAGCCCCATTTGGATGTCTTTTTATAGGAATAACAACGGGCACAACCCCAAACTGGAGCAAACTGGAGTCTAGTACTTTGCCGTGCTGGTATTACGGTCTACAGGCAGCATAGAAGTTCCTTTTGGAGTTCTAGAACATCAAGGTGAGACTTTTTGGCCAATTCCTGTACTTTTGCCACCACTGCCAATGCTCACAGAGCACTTCAGCTTCCCCGCTGCTTCCCCGGCGAGGGCTGGGGGGTCCGAAGGGCGGGAAACCCTTACGGGGTCTGAGGGCTCCAAAATGGCAGCAAGCACCTCACGGGGTCTGTGGGGGCTGGGGGGCTGTGGAGCGCAACGCCCTCACAAAGCTGGGGAGGACTGTGGAGGCTGAGAGGCACAAAACCCTTCAAGGGTCTGCTGAGAAGTGGTGAGGTGTGAAACCCAGAAAAGAGTCTGCTGAGGGATGGGGGACTGAGGGGTCCGAAACCCCTCTGCTGAGGGCTGGGGGGGGCACAAAATGGCGTCTGATCACGACTGGAGGGTGAGGGGTCTGAAGTCCCTCAAAGAGTCTACCGAGGTCTGAGGGGTCTGAAACCTCTCATGGGATCTGCTGAGGGGCACAAAAGCCCTAAAAGGGTCTGCTGAGGGTTGGAGGGGGTCGTGAAACCCCTCACGGGGTCTGCTGAGGGCAGTGCGGCCCCACCTCACAATGGTGGCAATGTGAACCCGCCTCATGTTGGGGGGCAGTGTGGACCCTCTTCATTATGGGGGGCAATGCAGACCCCCTCATGATGTGTGTGGGGGACAGTGTGGGCTCCCCTCATGGTGGGGGGCAATGCAGACTCCCCTCACGGTGGGGAACAATGTGAACCTCCCTCACGGCCGGGGGCAGTGCGGACCCCCGTCACAATGGGGGCAATGTGGGCCTCCCTGTTGGTGGGCATAATGTGGACCCGTCTCATGATGGTGGGCATAATGTGGACCCGTCTCATGATGGGGGGCATAATGTGGATCCGTCTCATGATGGGGGGCATAATGTGGATCCGTCTCATGATGGGGGGCACAATGTGGACCCGCCTCATGATGGGGGGCACAATGTGGACCCGCCTCATGATGGGGGGCACAATGTGGACCCGCCTCATGATGGGGGGCACCGCGGATCCCCCTCATTAACAGGGACAATGCGGCACCCCTCATTAGGGTGGGCAATACGGCCCCCCATCATTCGGGGGAGCATTGCGGACCTCTATCATTAATGCAGTCAGCGCAGCCCCCCCTCCTTAATGGAGCCAGCGCGGCCCCATCCCGGGGGCAGCATCCCCTGTCCGCTGGTGGCGCGCGGCTCTGGGGGGGCGGCGGGGTCCCTCCATCTTGTGCAGCCCCGGTGCGCCGTCCCGCCCGCTTCCTCCCGCCCTGCCCTCCCCCTCCTCCTCCTCCTCCTCCTCCTCCTCCTCCACCTCCTCCCGCCGCCCGTCACGGCGCGGGTTTATAAGGCGCGGGCATTGCCCGGATGTGAGCGGCGGGCGCTGCGGCGATGTCCGGGCGGGCTGCGAGCGGCCGCGGCTCGGCGGGGGAGGCCGCGCTGCTCACCCGGACCGCCCGCCCCGCGCTGCCCTAAACTCGGACCAACTCTGGGAACCGCCGACCCCGCGCCCCCCCCCGCTTCTGGGTGGTTTTTTGTTTGTTTGTTTCTTTTGTTTGTTTGTTTGTTTTGGTTTTTTTAATTATTTTTTTTACATTATTTTTTTTCCGAAAGGAAGGACAAGTCCCCGAGAGCCGCGGTGCCGTGGGCCCCTCACCATGTGTCTGTAAAAAACAATAGGGCAAAAGTTGTCGGACCTTCTTTTTTCTTTTTTTCCACTGCTTTTTTATTTTTTATATGTATTTTTTAAATTTATATATTTTTTTTTGACCCCCCAAATCCCAACAAAGCCAGGTGTAGGGTGCCTGTAAAAGCTGTGGAATACCCCGCAGCGGGACTGACACTTTCCCTACTTTTTGGTGGTTTCGGAGGGTCACACACGTGTGAGACAATAAAGCACTTTGGCAGAAGATTCCTCTCTTTTTATTTTGATTCTTTTGATTCCTTTTTTTTTTTTCTTCCCTCCCCCCCCCTTGGAATATTGTGAACATATTTGTGGCCACTTAAGGTAAAGTTCCGTTTTGCTGTTAGACTAACTTGTCTGTGTATTTTTTTTGCTTTCATTTTTATTTTTTGATTGAAATTGTCGATCCCGATGTGCTATTTTATAAAAAAAAAAAAAAAAAAAAAAAGAAAGAAAGAAAGTGCAAGTTCCGGGCTGTTTAAATAGATATACATTGTGTATACGTTGCATAGACACGGTGTAACTACACGCGCGAGAGATACACCAAGGTGCAATCGCCGAGCGCGGGGACTCGCTGCTTTATTTACTACCGGAAAATGAAATTCAAGGAGTTGTTCTTTAGCGGTGTCGGGCCTGCGAGAGGACAATACGGAATAAAAGTGGCAGAGGGGATGAGAGAAGCAGGAAGGGGAAGGGCGGGGGGTTGCTGGCAGCGTCCCCAAAAACTTGCGCGTAAATCCAAGCGGCTGCTTTGCAAAGTTTGCAGCGATGCTCCGGGAAAACGGGAAAGCTCGGGGCTGGGATCGAGCGGGAGGGCGGGAATAAACCGACCCCAACAAAGCGAGGTTAGAGAGAAATATCAAACCCCCCAAAATACGAACGGCGAGCGGGCGATCCAAAGGGGGAAAAAACCTTGTTCCTGCCGGCCAAGTCCCCGCGTCACGTGCGCCCGCGGCCCCGTATAAACGCGCTCGCCATGTGTGTGAGCGAGCCGGGCGAATCCAAAGTGGAATCCTTGGAAAAGTGCGGCGGGAGCGGGCGGGAGCCGCGCTCGGAGCTTCATGAGCGGCGGCGGCGGGTACGGAGGCGGCGCCGGGGCTCGCCGGGGTCGGGGCCGCGGGGCTGGGCTGGGCTCCGCGCCCCTTCCCTTCCCTTCCCTCTTCCCTTCCTTCCCTTCCTTCCCATCCTTCGGCTCGGCTCCCCTCCCCCCGGGCGCTGCCTCCGCACAGGCCCAGCCGCTCCCGGCTTGTTGTCGGCCTTATCCCCCTCCTTCTCTCCGCAAATTAGGAATCGGGGCTAATTGTACCCCGCTGCCCCCGCCCCCCCGGAACCTGCACTTCGCTCGCCGTGCCTTTTTTTTTTCCTCCTCTCGCTCTTTGCCGTTTCTGCCTCCAAACGCTCCTTTGCGTGGAAGAAGGAGAAGGGAAAAAGTTGGGAGCGGATGGCTGTAGTTTCTTCTCTGGGATCCTCATTCATTCCTCGCTGAACCTCCTGTTGCATAAATGATGCTCCAGGAGCGAGGCTTTGCCTGTTTTTTTCTCCTCCGGATTTGGGTTTAAGAGTGGATGTTCCCGGGTTTTGCCTCTTTGGAAATACAATATCGCCTTTTTTTTTCTTCTTGTTGTTGTTTTTTTTTTTTTTTTTTTTTTGGTTGTTTTTTTGGCTACCCCTCCATCTTTTTTTCCCCTCCCTTCTTCTTCTCAACTACCCACCCCCCGAACCCCCTTGAAAAAAAAAGCAAAATCCGACTGTGTTTCCTGCAAGGCTCGGGATTTCTGATTGCGGTTATTTCCATGTTTCTAGGTTTGTGTGATTTTGCTAAAATGCATCACCAACAGCGAATGGCTGCCTTAGGGACGGACAAAGAACTGAGTGATTTACTGGATTTCAGTGCGGTAAGAGACAACGGTGGAAATTAGCAACAGCTGTAAAAAAAAAAAATAATCTTCTAGCTGCTCTGTTAACAACAACAACAAAAAAATCCAACCCCCCCGCAAAAAAAAACCCAAAACCTAAAGCGACAAAACCAACCCCAAACTGTGCTCCAAGTACATTGGGCAATTTTTAATCAGCAGCTAGAAGCACGGTAAATATCTGAATTTGCTTAAAAAAAAAAAAAATCCAAGCTGAGTATTTGGAGTCTTTCTGATTGTGTGTGATGGGAGATGCAGGCGCGTTCGCAGCTTGGTTTCGTGTCTCGGATGGCTTGAATAATTCCTGCCAAAAGAAACGCCCCGAAAACTGACCGTTTCTCATAATTCCTCCATACCAATATTGCACTTTTACCGTGCTTTAGGTTTTCGAGCGTGGTTGGCACATGAACTAATTAATTGCTAATGAGTCGCTGATATTCTCCTTTCGGTTCTTCCCTTGTTTCGTTTTTTGGCACACGGAAAGTGCAAAGAAATCCACGACTGTCTCAGTTTAAAGTTTTCCCTGAAATCTCCTCTGGCTTCTGCTGGTGCTAAAGCTGCTCCGACCTTCTCGGCGCGGCCCTAGCCAGGGGTTTGGGATGTTCTTTTCGCGGGGAAAAAGGGGTTTTTGTCCCCCGGGCTGGTTTGGAGGCCGAACGTTCCGCCGGACGCGTGCACTTGTCTAGTTTTGTCAGGCTCCCCCTCCCCCTCCAGCCCCTTCCTTCCTCTCCCCATCCCCTCCCTTCCCCCCAATATGTCAGGAATATCTCTCTATCCACTTAGTTATTTATTTTAGGGCAGAGCTTTCTCTGGGAGATGCGGGGCCGCTCCTAAAACCCGGCTAGGCCCCCCCCCTCTCCCCCGCGAGCTCCAGGCTGGTGCTGCTGCTCCAGCCTCGGCTTCCGAGGGATGGCTGCGGGAAGTTTGGCCGGGAATCGTAGCCCGCGGCAGCTCCGCAGCCCCCTCTCTGCTTGTCGGTGCACTTTTCCCATTTGTTCCCTGGCTTTTTGCAGGCTCTGACTCAGGGAAGGTGCGTATTATCCACCAGATGCGTCGGAGAAGGGAGAAACCAATTAGGGTCGGAATAAATGCTGGGAAGAGAGAGAGAGGAGTGCGAGAGAGGGAGGGAGAGGGGGCGAGGAGCGAGCCTGGCTTCCAATTGCTCGGTGGGAGAGACGGGATGAGAATTTAGGGCAGGTGGCACTTTGCATTATTATTATTTGGGTTCCCACATGCCAGGCAAATCCTTGAGCGGGATGGAAGTGGACGTTGCTACACTGATGGCCAAGGTTGCGACCCAATCCCAACTTTTTCCGCCTTTGTCGGCGGGGAGAGCGGAACCAGCCCCGCTTCCCAGCCTGGAGAGTCGCTGGGCACTGGCATGGCTTGAAGTCTTCGGGAAGGGCAGATTGTTTGGGAAGCTAAGGAGCCTAAGAAAAGCGGGATGCTGGTGGGAGCTGGCAGGAATCTGTATTTGTTTGGGGGACGATGGTTCCAGGGAGAGAAACTCCTGAGGACCGTGGAAGGAACTTCGGACTGCCAGTGGACTCGGGAATCGCTTGTTTTCCACTAGTAATGCCTCTTTGTTTTTTTTTTTTTTTTTAGATGTTTTCACCTCCCGTGAGCAGTGGGAAAAATGGACCAACTTCCTTGGCAAGTGGACATTTCACTGGCTCAAGTATGTACCGTTTTTTGTTCCCTCCATGGTGCAAATGCTGTGATTTATTTCTCCATGGGCTTTACCTTTGTTGTGGTGCTTTAATCTCTCGTGGGGAGCAGATCCGTTTGGATTGGAGTGGAATTATTCCTAAGCACTGGTTATGATTATTCTGATTTTTATTATTTCCACAAGCCTGGGAGGTTTTTAGAGCACTGCCACACAGTCCTGATTTTTAAAAAACCCCTGAACTTCCCCTCTGTGTAGCTGCTGCTGAAAATTGTTCTGGTGTGAAAGTAGGTTTATCTTTTGCCTTTTTTAATTTGAGCCTCAGTGAATTTTTTTTATTTCTAATTCCAAAGACTCTCTTTGTCTGGGAGGGATGAGAGTCAAAACCTGTCGTGTGCAAATGAATTTGGTGAGTCAGAACTGAAGCAGAATTGAAGCTGAATCGGAGGCTGCTGCAATTAAATATAGAAATCACAAGTATCCGAGGATAAATAGCAGGGAAGGGAATGTTTAGGATTATAGAGGATGGAATATTTTTGGTGAATTGAACCCTTTTAGTTACTTTGGAGCTGGGGCATTTTGTTTGTAAATATTGGAGCCTTGTGGAAGCAGGATTTGTTTGTTATTTGGCTGTGGTAGGGTTGGATGGGCAAGGGCAGCGTTCCCTAAAATCAGGAGTGGGATGACAAAGCGATCTCAGAGCTCTTGGCAGTGGAACACGTGTGGACAATAATTGTCTGGCAACTCCAGTTTTATAGGGAGGCTTTTATGTGCCTGACAGATGAGAAGGCAAACTCCCAGAGATCCTTACTGCCCATGTCCTTGCCCCGGGATGCAGTTGGTTCTCCTGCCCCGATCTCCAGGTTGGGAGTTGCAGTGTTTTAGCTCCACGTGCCAACGCTCCGGCCGTCAGGTTGTACCAGCATCCTGGGCAAGCCAGGGGGAATTTGGGCACGGCTTCCCTGCAAACTGCCCCAGGATAGCCACCTCATTCCATAGGGTTTCATGCCCAATATTCCCAGCTTTTCCTCAGTGCAAGGCACCCCTTCTCTTTATGCAGCATTTCATTAAATGCACTGGGACATCAGTCAGCTTTTGCTTTCCAGAGCAGGATTGGCAGCTGGTCTGCAATGGAATGTTTTTTAAGCTCAGGTGCCACCTGAACGCTCAGTTTGTGCCTTTTATTCTGTGTAGCCTTTGGAAATAACACCGTGGGTTTGTTTTATCTCCCCAAACTTGGTTATGTTGTGCTTGCAGCGACTTGGAGAATTTTGCTGTTGGGGTTGAACAACTTTCCAAACATGAGCTGTAGATTTTAATCCCATTTTTTGCCATTTTGCGCCGTAATTTTCCGAGCCGATTTCGGCGGATATGGAATATCCACTCTATTTGTTTTCAGGGGAGTGTTTGTGCCAGACAAATCAATTTGTCATGCTCAGGGCCTGGGCCATGCACAGCCACTACTTGGGCTGGGTGACCCCAGAGTTATATTTAATAATTCTGTCCCAAGCCTCAGCTCTGGAGTCGCTTGGATCAGGAGGACAAACTGGAGCAGGGAGTGATTAAATTGTGTTTTATTGTCTCCGAAGCTGAAAGAATTTGAGGAACTTTGACACCTCCTGTAGCCAAGGAGGATGATTTAATGAACTGCAGGAAGCGAGGGATAGGGAGATAAAACCCACTTAAAACAACACCTGAACTGTCCCATGGACAGAATTCCCGCAGAATTCCTTGTCCACACTGATACCAGGTGGTGGAGGAGGAAGGAGAAGCTTGAGGAAGCGCCGGGCATTTGCACAATGGCAGCGCAGGGGGCTTCTGGAAGTGAAAATAACTGGAATTTTCCTCTTGGAATATCTGTTGCTCAGTTATTCGACAGGGAATTTTGCAGGGAGTGCTCAGTGCTTCCCAAAAAGTTGGGGGCAATGCCAGGGAGACGCGTGGCCTGAGGATGGAGGTGCGTGGCTATTGTTTGGAGCAGGGCTTGGGAAATCAGGATTGCATGGATAACACTGGGATAACTGCTCCGAGAGGGGTTTCTGTGCTCCATGGCAGGACCGAAGGCAACTCCATCAATAATAGCAAACATGGTTTATTATTCTAATTATGCACATTGAGAACGTCGGGTTTGGAGAGCGGGGTGGATCCTGCTTTTCTTCCTGCAAGTTCTCTCTAGGAAGTTTGAGCCGGATTTTAATATTCCTCTTTAGAAATACAGTTATTAAGACGAGGAACCGCAGAGGTCATTGCTCTACATTAATGTGGAACTCCTTATGGACAGGGGGGAAAAAAGAGGGAAAAACAGCCTCCAAAAGTAATGCCAGACAGGGAAGTGAAACCAGCTGGACTCTGGACTGGAGGAAGTGTGGGAATAATTCCTGCTCGAAGTCATCCCGGGGGCTTTTCCCTCAGCTAATCCACAACGCTCTGTTGTGATTTGCAGTGAGGAGGGGGGGGGGGGAGGAAGAAAGTAAAGCCCCGTTGCCTTTGAGTCTCGAATTCCACAAACATGGCTTCTCCAGACCGGGGAGGGCTGCAGGGAGAAAGGAATGTAACCTGAGCTCCAACCCTGACATTCCCAGGGAGCATTTTTCACATGAAAGGCTTTTGTGAGCCCAGGGAAGGCCCAGCAGCCCATGTTTGATGTTTGCAGGTGTTGGGGCTGGAGCCTCTGACCTGTGCTGGGAGAGCTGGGGCACTGGAAGCACCAAACTCCCCTGGAGTTCCGTCCACTTTGGGTCGTGTTTGTGAAGTGATTTAGGAGCTGCTCCTTCCACTGAACAATGCACATTCTTTGCAGGCATCCGGGGGGGGCTTTTGAGTTTTTCTGCTTTGTTTGCCCTTTTTTTAGGATGGTGGCCAAAATAAAATGAATTTGTCCACAACTCCTAAAATTTTGTAAGGAGTTTCCATCTCCTTCCCCAGCACATTCATCACAAATTTATCCTACTTTGAGTGTGAGGCCCCATAAAATAAAAGGGTGACAGACTGGGGAGCAGTTTTGCCCCCAAGAATTCCATGGGTCTGTCACATTCGGTGTATTTCAGGTTTTTATCCATTAATCAGAGCCCACATCTTCCTGATTCCCTTCGATTTCTGCTCCTTCTATTTAAAGCCTGGAATTTTACCTCTGTTTGGGAGCATCTGCTCTGGATTGCCCACTCTGAGTGTCTCTGAATAGCGTGTGGGTGGCAGCAGGATCGGAGAAAAGCGGGATTTTTCTCATTGCCCATTCCCATGGCCCAGAAAAAAAGGGAGAAAATCTCCCATCTCTGCATCTCCCAATAAAGCAAAGTCTGTTTAAAGGATTTAAATCCTCGCTTTTCATTTTGCCATTAGTTTGATTAGGGCTTGGCCTGCATTAGAGCAACAAATTAATACATCTTTAATGAGGGAATCACAAATCCAGCTCGGGCTAAAGTCCTCTTTTTTTTTTTTTTGATTTGTGATGTTCTGTGAGGAAATTCTGACAAATACTGTGGGGGTTTTAAAGCACAACCTGGTTTTGGAGTGTGGAGAACCTGCAGAATTTTGCTGTTGTTCGTTGATCACCAAAAAAAAGAATTAAATCGAGGATGTTTTGGAGCTGGTCAGGTGAGGCACATCCGGGGATGCCTGCATGGATCCCAGTATTCCCAGCAGGAATAGCCTGTGTGATAGGGAAGAAACACGCCATACCAGGGAGGATTTGGGAAGGAAGGGATTATGATGCAGAATAGCCATTCAAAAGATAAAAAAAGAGGGGGTAAAAATCCCCAAAAAGAGAAATTTTCAGCCTTTTGCCCCAAAGATACTGCATGAGGGAAGTGGCACGGCAGGTCCGGAGCTCTCGCGGTTCCAGGGCAGGGAGTTCAGGTTTGCCGTGGGCTATGCCAGGAAAGATGGAAAATGATGATGGGCTTTGGGTGGGGGCTCAGCTCCGTTGCTCTGCGTTCCTGCCTCGGAATTCCAGGTCTCCGGGGGGCTGCAGGACCCTCGGGCCCCTTGGATCCAAGCTCAGCTCCCGGTCCTGTCTCCCACTTGTTCTCCCTGTTGAAAACTCTGGGGCTTCACAAAAGCAGCTCCTTCCCTGCTTTCCATCCCTGAGGTTTCGCAATTATGATTAAGGAGAGCAGGAATGCTGTTGCCTCCCATCCTTCCAGCTATGTTTACCCGGGATCCTCCTCCCCTCCGTGGGGACAGCCAGAGCCCCAGGCTCTGCTGTTTGGAAGTGGCCTGAGCCCCCCCCCCACCCCGGAGCAGGAGACTGACTCCCAAAGCACAGAGGTTCCTCCAGGACCCGATCCTTACTCGCAGGAGCAAACTGAGTGTAGCTGCAGAGGCCACTCCAGAGCCGCAGCCACCTCCAGCCCCTGGACTATGGAAATCTGGGAGCCCAGGGCCTGGTTGCTAGTTAAGGAGGTAACCCAGGCCAGCCATTCCCGGTGGATAATGGAGACTGGGAGCTGGAGGTGCTTTGGGCAGCCTCGTTCAGTGTTACCTTGTTTGCAATAGATTCAATAATTCGCAATCTGCTCCGGGGCCACAGCCACCCGAATGTCACCTGCAGGGGGGACAGCCCTGCCTGCCCTTCCCAAATCCAGCAGCAGCAGGGATGCTGCTTCAGCTTATCCTGTGGATATCAGGGATCTGGGAACAAAGTGGGGCTGTTAAACCAGGCAACTTGGGCCTGGCTTGGACTTAAGTGGGAGCACAAAGCTTGCTCAGGGAAAAAACCCAAACAAGTGAGGTACAATTCGGCTTCTTCCCACTGGATTTGTGCTCGTGCCACTCCCAAATTCATATGGATTTTTGTCAGAGGCAAATGCCGCTTCCACGACCTGAATTCCTAAGGAACATGGAATAGGCACAAAGAACCCCAATTTTTTGTCTTTCACCACTTATTTCTGCAGTAGCCAAAAAATAATGGGATTTAATGTTTTTATCACCCCTCCTCCATAATTTAAACAGAATTTGGAAATGACTTGGATATTTTCCTTAACTGAGGAAGTCAAAGGGTTTAAGCCCCTGCT